CTCTCATATTACTGGAGATAACTTAGTAAAGATAGCCCTTAATCCTAGTCAACCTGATTCCAAGATCCCTACGATTTTCGTCAGTAACATGACCGCGTAGCGGTCATGACCGCGTAGCCCGTCCTGACCGCGTAGCTCAGTTGGACCGCGTAGCTCAGTAGTAACATGACCGCGTAGCGGTCATGACCGCGTAGCCCGTCCTGACCGTGTAGCTCAGTTGGAAGAGCATTGGGCTAGTATTCCAAAGGTCGTAGGTTCGAATCCCACCGTGGCCGGGCATATTTTTCAAGCTCGCCCGGTGTGGATATGCACTCAGAGTAACATCGCAAACATAACATCCGATCTATTGCACCAAAAATTGACGAACTAGAGTGCGTGGTTAATCAGAATGATTCAGACATAGTATGTATTACAGAAACGTGGTTATCTGACGAGATACATGATAATGCAGTTGCAATGCATGGTTTAATTTACCTTGTTCCGGAAAGATCGTGAAAAACGCGGCGGAGGTGTAGCAATATTTGTTAAGTCCAATATTCAATGTAAAAGACTATCAGTTCCTGAAATTCCTGAGTCCGTGATTGAAATTTTATGGTTACAAATGAGGCCCTGTCGACTTCCGAGGGCAGTGTCATCCATTCTGATTGCAGTTGTTTACCACCCACCACATGCGTCGGCTGATGATAATTACAAGGTTTATAACCATATTCAAGGGTGTTGTTGACTCGCATTTGGCTTGTCATCCAGACAGTCTAATTTGCATCGTGGGCGATTTTAATCCCAATTCAACCAATATATCTTCCAGCCGCTTTCGTCAGTTATGCGGCCTGGCGCAGATTGTAAAAGTTTTCACAAGAGATTCAGGCATCCTTGATTGGTGTTTAACAAATAAACCTAAAATTATGTCTGTACCCGAGAAATTACCCAAGATTGGCTCCAGCGACCATTACTGCTTTGTTGTCAGGCAGAAATTGCCTCGAGCAAAACCACCGCCCAAAGAGACTATCTTTAGACGAGACACCCGTGATAGTCGAATTCGAGAATTTGGCCAGTGGATAACCTCGTTTTCATGGCAAGAGGTGATCTCGAAAGGTTCGTGTCAAGATAAATGTGAATGTTTCCATCCAGGGGCGTAGGAAGCGGGGGGGCACGTTTACCTATGAAGGCAGTACGTAAATGCCGCTCCGACAAGCCTTGGATGACAAGCAAGATAAAATCATTGATTAGGAAAAGGCAAACATGTATGGCAAAATATGGGAAGGAGTCCTCTTCCTTCAAATTTTGGAGAAATAAAGTTGCTCAATCCATCAAAGAATGTAAGGAATCGTATTATAAGTCTAAAGTTAGAAACCTAAAAGTCACGGACGCAAGCAAATGGTGGAGAGAGGTTAAAAATCTTTCTGGTATGGCTGACAGAAATAACCAATGGTTTGAGCACCTCATTGATGGTGAAACTGTAGATTCCGTTAATACGTTATGCGAAAGAATCAATCATTTCTTTGTAAATCTCACAAAAGATTTTACGCCTCTCTCACAGGACGATGTTTCTAACTATTCTGCTGGTGATTCTGGTATTGCGGATGATCTCTTGGCTTCAACTGGCAAAGTTTATAAATCCCTTTGTTCTTTAAAGACAGGGAAAGCCCCGGGACCGGATGGAATCCCGAATGTAATTCTAAAAACGTTTGCCTTTGAGTTAGCGCCAGTAATCGCTGATATTTATAACTCATCCTTACGTGATGCCTATTTGCCTCCTCTATTAAAGAGAGCAACTGTTACACCTCTTCCCAAACAATCTCCACCGGGCTCCATTGAAAATGGTATCAGACCCATCTCACTCACTTGCGAAATTGCTAAAGTGATGGAAGGTCTCACCTTAGCGAGAATCCTGCCATCCATTATAAGTCACTTGGATAACAAACAATTTGCTATGGCTGGAAAATCTACGCAACAGGCTATAGTATATATTCTCCATCTAGCCCTCGAGGCCCTTGACAAGGGTGGTTGCACCCTCCGATTTTTCTTTGCTGATTTCCGCAAGGGATTCGATCTGATTGACCACAAGATTCTACTTGATAAACTATCTAAACTTGGCACTCATAACGTTGTGTTAGGATGGATCGCTGCCTTTTTATATAAAAGGTCTCAGTTCGTTCGTATTGGGTCGGATGCATCTACACTTCAATATATCAATGGTGGTATTCCACAAGGTACTAAGCTTGGCCCGATCCTCTTTGCCGTAATGGTGAATGAACTTTTGTCTGCGTGGGGCCCCCGTGCTAAGTTCGTTGATGATCTTACCGCTTTGGAAATTGTACCTAGAAATTCCCCTTCCTTGATGAATCATATCGTGGCAGATATACACTCGTTTGCTGAAGTGAACAATATGAAGCTGAATCCTGCCAAGTGTAAAGATATGATTGTTAACTTTCTTCATTTCAATACTAGTGTTTTGCAACCTATCATCATTGGTGCAACACGCGTGGAATCTGTTTCATCATTTAAACTGCTCGGAGTGTATGTTACCAGTGATTTAACATGGTCTGTGCATTGTGAATACATTATTAAGAAATCCAATAGGCGTTTATATGCGTTGAGGAAGCTTAAGAGGAGTGGGGTAGCCCCAACAGACATCCTATGTGTTTATTGTGCAATTATAAGATCAGTATTGGAATACGCTTCTGTCGTTTTCGCCAACCTTCCTCAAAATCTTAGCGACGATCTTGAAAGGGTCCAGAAACGAGCACTGGCCATAATATACCCTAACTGTTCCTATGATGATGCCCTAAAACTAGCTGGTATCGAACCGCTTGTCTTACGGAGGGACGCCGCCTGTAAGAGATTTGTGGAGACAATCCTACCTGGAAACCCCACTCTATCCAATTGTTCATAGCCGGTCAGCACCAGTGAACCATGGTTATAAACTTAGATCTGACAATGTTGCGAGGAATATCAGGATGCGAACAAACCGGTTTCAGAAATTCGTTACCATTAAGTATGCGACCTGAACTGTGATCGTTGAACCTAATAACTCTATTGTCTAGTTATACATTCATTTTTAACTATAATAAATTATGTACACCTCTCAGATAATTTTGTATAAGTTTTATATACTGTAAATAATATTTGTAAATAAGATTTTTGTAATGACCTGTAATTCAGTTTCTACTGCAAGGTTTTTTTTAATAAACTATTACTATTACTATTAACCCACGATTAGCGGGAAAAAAAGAAAATTTTACCTTTGGGACTACGCCGAAAAAGGGACAGTATTTTCTTTTGAACAGCCTATCATCGTTTCCTTTAGGCTTAGGTTATGCTTATACAGTAGAAGTCTGATGCTTGTGCATTTAAAGCCTGCTTTCCATCACTGAATTGAGTCACGGCGATCTTTCGATTCTCATGGGCCGAAATACAACATTTTAGAACTGAAAATACGTGGAGTGATTATAACTATACAGTAGAGAATACTAATGATTTATATGTGAAATCTGCGGTGTTGGTGTGATGTACTCAGGTGAATAAGATCTTTGTGTGATGTTACTCTGAGTGTATATCCACACCGGGCAGGCTTGAAAAATATATAAATCAAGCCTGCCCGGTGTGGATATACACTCAGAGTAACATATCACACAAAGATCTTATTCACCTGAGTACATCACACCAACACAGCAGATTTCATGATTATTAGATTACACTGATATCGAAGGAACTAGACTCAGTTCCAAAGTATCGCATACTCGAACCGTTCTGACCGCGTAGCTCAGTTGGAAGCTAGAGCATTGGGCTAGTATTCCAAAGGTCGTAGGTTCGATTCCCGCCCTGGCCAGGCATATTTTTCAAGCCTGCCCGGTGTGGATATACACTTAGAGTAACATCACACAAAGATTTATATGTGGTTTACAGGTATAAACTATTTAACAATTAGTCGCCGAAGGCGAGGTGATTACAAGCCTATATTCACTGAGCCGAAGGCGAAGTGAATATAGGCTTGTAATCACCGAGCCTGAGGCGACTAATTGTTTTAGTATAAATTTCCAGGTGTTTACAAACAATAATCCACACAACTTTATAAAAATTCACTTCAAATAAATTTATTTTCACTATAAATAGTTTGTTTACAAAATTTAAATCTCAGACACGGCTCTGTGTCGCGTTGCGACTAAGCCAGTTTTTTTCCAAATAAAAGCACGTAAAGTTTAATATTTTACCTTGAAATATTTTTAAACCATATTTTGTAGCTTGTTTGCGTTTTTTTCGGATGCTATCTTCTTTAATTTTGGCAATTTCCTCCTCTGTTACTACGGCAAAACGAGCAGCCATTTTGAAAAAAAAGCTATAGTCACTGACCAGTGACTATCACTTCAGAGACAGTGAATCTTGACCAATCAGAATGCAGAAAAATCAATAGTCACCTGGAAATTTATACTAATAAGTATTAGGCTATAAACAGGCCGTTGAGAAAGTCGTGACTCTATTTTTACGACCATTACTGTGACGACCATATGGAAACTAGGCTTAAGATTATGTCGCATGCTTTATTTCTTTGTTTGGCCTTTTCTTTTTCTCACGCTTGCATGGGCTTTTTCTCACGCTTGCATGGGAATAAAAGAAATTAATCAATATGTAAAACCAACGCTACTCACGGCACCAAATAAGCTTATTTTACACGTCGGAACCAATGATCTACAAAGAATGACGCCAGATGAATTGTTGACACATGTACAAAAGCTTGGAGAGAGCATTACTCGAGAAAACGGGAATATTGAATTAGTTTTATCAGAAATCATAACAAGAACTGACGATAAAACATTGGCTGATAAGGTAAACGAATATAACAAGGGATTAGCCCAACTATGTATAGAACGAAATTGGTGTCTTATCAGGCACAATAATATTGACGTAAACCATTTAAATAACTACGGACTGCACTTAAATAAGCAGGGTACATCAGTCTTAGCAAAAAACATAAAGCAATTTCTTAATAATAGGAATTGACTAGGTAACGACAATAATAATGACATAAGACACAGCGATAATAACATAGTCGACAAAGATAATTCCGATGGTCCAGCACGCTGCACCTCGAAAAGCCCAAAAATTCCTTTCCAAATTAATAAGTCTTATCCAAAACTAAAGGGTTTTAAAATTGGCCACTTAAACATTACTAGTTTGCCGAAACACATGGACTACCCATAAATACCCTGTCGATAGGCCGTAAAACATTGCAAGAAGAACGATGTTTCATGAATTGTCGTCCATGTTTGATATCAACAAGAAGCTTAGGAACCAGGCTTTCTTCCAGTGTGGGCTACACGGAGGGATAGCGATGTATACACAAAATATTTGAGTCGTTTACCATGCGCATCACTTTATATCCCGTCATAATAAATGAATGGTATGTAAAAGGCCGTCAATACCCAATATATGTATTTTTCTGCTTTAGTTAAACAAAAAACTAAGCAAAATGTATTTTTTTAGTTAAAACTTGCGTTTGTTAGGTATGAATAACTTTTCATAGGAAAAACCGCTGAGATATATTGCGGGCGCATGTCCTGAATTTCTGGCCATGATCCTTATGACATTTAAAGCGATTAATGGCATGCTTCCAGAATACGTAACACAACTATTTCACACTTGCGAAAACAATGGTTACGTACTGCGCAGTAGTAATTTAAAGCTGTCTCAACCTAAACCAAAAACGAATTTCTTGAAAAATAGCTTTTCGTACAGAGGAGCAGCGTATTGGAACAACATCCCAGTAAACTTGTTGAAAACCCTAAGAGAGTCAACAAGTTTAAAATCTGTCCATCATCTATTAAATAATTACATCTTGTGAATAAGTAAATAAGTAAATAAGTATATTTTGTAAATAAGTATAATTTAGTTTATTAGTTCCTTCTTTTATAATGCATTTATTTTCCACACGGCCCTTTGAAAATCACCTATGTGAAAGGTTACCGTGTTTAAAGATCAATAATAATAAAAAAGCAGACTTAGTATATTTCTGGCACGCAATCGCGGACAAAGAACTATAATTAACGCACACATAATATGCACAACATTTATCGCGACAGCAGTTTTTAGTATCACGTACGCACCACATTCCATAGTCAATCAGGAAGACTAATGTTAGGGAGACTATAAGCTCGACAGAACAATATACATATTAAGTGCTGTAAATTAATTTTGCCGTAACTAGCTTTTTGCAGAGTTCTTGACTCTGTCTAATCAAACACACTCGATCTCCAAGAAGTCGGTTTTTCTCAGATAATTTGGAGCAGGCCCATGAAGTGATTCGTGAACCATATCAACCTTTTGAATTTTACGTTGAGTTTGAAGCTTTTTCCAGCCAATACTTGCAAGAAGAGCATCAGCTAATGCATCATAGCTGGAAAATGTTAATATACTCGCTGCTCGACTTTCATGTAATTTTTGCAACTTTCAGCAAGGGTTTTGAAACAATTATCCCAAACGACGCAGCAGTAATCAAAATGTGGTTGGATTAACGAATTGAAAATAAACGGCAACGTCGTACGGACAAGTGATCTTATACGTTTTACAAAGCTCGGAACCTTTTTCGTCTGCATTTCAGTGTTTTTATATTATATGTGTTGCTACTAACATTCCTTGTTATCGCTTACAAATAAGATAAAGAGCGCCTGAGCGCTGCCCTCGAACAAGCGCCGCATCCGTAACACTAAAAATGTAAAAAGAGCTGCCGTCGCTGCGGCGCTTAAACGAGTAAATACGGTAAGTCATGTGTACGGGGGGCCTATTATAGTTTCGCGGTTATGCGGATTTAGCCATATTTTGAGGTCGGATTTCGGTTATATCCAGTTATTTTGTACGGTTTGCGGTTAACTGGAAATCGTGCGGAGACGGAAAATGTCGAAATTAACCCTCCGGATTCGGTTATTGACTAAAATAAATAGCGGTATTCGGATAGCTTTTAACATGCGGTTAAGAAATATTTTACGAGCTCATGGCAATAATTCAGTTCATGGCATTCATCTTCCGATCGTGCGCATGTATTGTTCAACAGGGCCTCGAAATGACGAAATCAAATGAGTAAAGTGGCCGGCCTACTAGTAAAAGCAGGAACACCGGAACACGGAACACCGGAACAGCATCATTCCGGAATACGAAACACCAGAACACCAAAAATTCCGCTTAATTTCAGTAAAAATTCGAGGGGAAAAAATTACCGGGGGTTGTGAAATTGTTGAAGGAACAATTATTCCGTAAAAGTAAAACATGCTTTTTAATATTCTGAGTCTCTGACTTGCCGATTGCTACTAATTACGAACCGAAATCAGTTCCAAAGTAATAAATATTTGCCCGAAAAAACGAAATCAAAGCAACTTGATTGTTTCTCGCACAAAACATAAGCAGCGATGGAAGGAAAACCTTTTTATAGCTATTTGAACTGCTAAGACTTCGTTTTCTTTTGCCAATTGCCAAATTTTATACTACCAAGTTCGCGTGAAACTTGTGAACGACTTCCTCTTCAATACTCCAACAGAAATGGCGACTATACGTACTGACTATTGCCTCACATTATGTTGCGGAATATGTTTCGAAATATGTTACCACATATGCCCAGTGGCTTGCTGGGTACTATTTTTCTGGAGGGGCCAGTGGGCTGTCAGCCAATATGCGCCCCTATAATGTTACACTTGATAAACAAGGGCCGAAGGCACGAGCCGAGTGCCGCAGGTGCGAGGTTTGTCTAGGGGGGTCCGGGGGCATGCCCCCCAGGAAAATTTTTGAATTTAGAGTCTCTGAAATGCCATTTCCTGGACTTTGGGGGAAGATTTGACAGAAATCTGATGGTCAGGAAACGGCATTATAACGTGTCGAAATTTGCAATTTGGTTAGAATTTATGAGTA